TTGAACTTATGAAAACAGAGAACAAACGTTTACTTCATAACATCGCATTATATTTGTTAAAGGCATTTAACAAACGACAAGAGTTACTTAACCGTGTTTAAAATACAACACTCTCGTAAATATGATATGATAAAATGTGTATTTATATAAGAATATTATTGCCATGTACATGTATGTATATATTTTTGTATATGTCTATATGCTGTACCATGCATACGACTAAATAAACCTTCTGTTCTGTTCTGTTCTGTTCTTGTGATACCTTGTGATGTTTGGGAAACTTTATTAGTCCCCTAACATGCCTAGATGATAGTAGATTAACGGAATATCATTCGAGTTAGATCTGTAAAAGTGCCAGATTTTTTAAACCAACACCTTATCGGTACTCACTTGTATTACCAAACCCTTTGGTTGATCTATAAACACAAAATCAAGAGCCTGTCTCGTTTTCGCGTGTTTAAGTAACCTCAAGAGTAGATTCTAACAACTCTACTACTCCCGACTGGCCGCATTGGTCGCCATTGTTGTTGTTGTTGTCGGAAAAGATTATAGTGGTCTCATACCTCATCTATAGAAGAGTGACACAACATGGAAACTAGTATTTCCCATTACAGTATTTCATAATTGGAGGTATTTACTTCCTTCGAAAAGTAGTATGCGACCATGGTCTCATCCAAGTTCAAATGCGCATGTCCTATAAAGACTACTTCCGGGTTATTGCAGTATCGCTTCGGTATCGCTTTCGAGGAGCTTTTTGACTGGGTAAATAGATCCTATTAAAAAATCACGGGTATTTGTTGGATAATTAATAAGACAATGGTAGAAATAAAGTTTAAGCGTTTGATTTAAATATTATATGAGAATTTTAATTCAAAGATCTTGTCAAATTTCAAATCTGTGTCAAGTTCTGTTTTGTAGGACACCTGGAGGTCACATCGCGTTATCGTATAAATTTTTATTGTAAATAGACAGCTAACATTTTCCTTCCGGGACAAACAAAATATGTGTCGATCGTACATTTTCAAAAAATATTAGTTTTTATATTACGCGGTTGTTAACTGTGGTACAATTTACCATCTTTTCAATTTGTCATTTTATGTTACAGCTCTACTTTCACTTTCGTTTTGACATTACAAAGCAAATTTTAGAAAGCTTTGTTCCCAACGCAAAATATGAGAATAAACAGTAAGATTTTCTAGAATGCCAATGTACCATATTTACAAATTCATAACTCACAAACCATGCTATTTCATGGTCTCATCCCATGGGTTTTCACAACACAAAATTATCAATGAGGCTCACTACCAGTGCACACAAAGCCATGGTCCCATCTTTGAAACTTTCTTTGTACCCAAATTATCTTGAACCTATCAATACCATTTCATGGTTTCATCTAAAAACATTATTTATGAGAACCCAAGGACCTGTACACCAACATACAATTCATTTCAATATTTTTCAATTGTTGGTATGAATTTTTAAAAATGTATACAATTTCAAATTCACATCTTTGCAAGTTTTCTATGGTAGAATTTATCGTGAACATTGTGGTCTTAAAATATTCATCTATGAGACCATAAGGCCCTGTACCCATACATACAATGCCATGGTCCCTTTTGGAAAATCTCAATATAAGAATATATCCTAAACCTCATGGTCTCATCTAAAAGAAAGTCTTCTATGAAACTAAATTACCCTGTACCCCTACATTCAATCTTATGGTTCCTTCTTGCAAATTGCCAATAGATGAAACTATCCTGTATCTCATGGTCTTATCTTTAAAAATTTAATGGTCCTGTCTATGCAAATTCTCTGTGGAAGAAAATATACTAAACCTCATGGTCTCATATTTAAACAAGTCATCTATGAGACCATAAGGGCCAGTAATCCTACGTACAATTTTCATGGTCCTGTTTTTGCAAATTGTCTGTGGAAGAAAATATCCTGAGTCTCATGGTTGAATCTTTAAACAAGTCATCTATGAGACCATAAGGACCTTCAATTCTACATAAAATTTCATGGTCCTGTTTTTGACAATTCTCTGAGGAAGAAAATATACTGAACATCATGGTCTCATCTTTTAACAAATCATCTATGAGACCATAAGGCCCTGTAATCCCAGATACAGTTTCATGGTCCTGTTTTTGACAATTCTCTTGGGAAGAAAATATACTGAACCTCATGGTCTCATCTTTAAAAAAAGTCATCTATGAGACCATAAGGCCTTGTAATCCCAGATACTATTTCATGGTCTTGTTTTTGCAAATTCTGTATGGAAGAAAAATATACTGAACCTCATGGTCTCATATTTAAAAAGTCATCTATGAGACCATAAGGCCCTGTAACCCCAGATACAGTTTCATGGTCCTGTTTTTGCAAATTCTCTGTGGTAGAAAATATACTGAACCTCATGGTCTTATATTTAAAAAAGTCATCCATGAGACCATAAGGCCCTGTAATCCTCCATACAATTTCATGGTCTTGTTTTTGCAAATTCTCTGTGGAAGAAAATATCCTGAGTCTCATGGTTGAATCTTTAAACAAGTCATCTATGAGACCATAAGGGCCAGTAATCCTAAGTACAATTTCATGGTCATGTTTTTACCCATTCTCTGTGCAAGAAAATATCCTGAACCTCATGGTCTTATCTTTAAACAAGTCATCTATGAGACCATAAGGACCTTGAATTCTACATACAATTTCATGGTCCTGTTTTTTGACAATTCTCTGGGGAAGAAAATATACTGAACATCATGGTCTCATCTTTAAACAAGTCATCTATGAGACCATAAGGCCCTGTAATCCCAGATACTATTTCATGGTCTTGTTTTTGCAAATTCTGAATGGAAGAAAAATATACTGAACCTCATGGTCTCATATTTAAAAAATCATGTATGAGACCATAAGGCCCTGTAATCCCAGATACAGTTTCATGGTCCTTTTTTTTGCAAATTCTTTGTGGAAGGAAATATCCCTAGTGTCATGGTCTCATTATTAAACATGTCATCTATGAGACCATAAGGACCTTGAATTCTACATACAATGTCATGGTCCTGGTTTTGACAATTCTCTTAGGAAGAAAATATACTGGACCTCATGGTCTCATCTTTAAACAAGTCATCTATGAGACCATAAGGTCCTTTTATCCAAGATACTTTTTCATGGTCCTGTTTTTGCAAATTCTGTATGGAAGAAAAATATACTTGACCTCATGGTCTCATCTTTAAACAAGTCATCTGTGAGACAATAAGGCCCTGTAATCCCTAATAAAATTTCATGATCCTGTCTGCAAATTCTCTTCAGGAAAAAAATATCCTGAAATTTTTGGTCTCATCTTTAAAAAAAGTCATTTATGAGACCATAAGGCCCTGTTATCCTTACAATTTCATAGTCCAGTCTTTACAAAGTGTCTATGGACAAAATTGCCCTACACATCATGGTCTTATGGAAAAATATCATTAATGAGACCATGTCCCCTGTAATCCTAAATGAAATAATGTGGACCAGTCTTGGTAAATTCTAAATGGAGGAAACTATCTTGACCTTCATGGTCTCATCTTAGAATATGTGTGTATGTCATAAATGAGACCATAAAGCCCTACACCCCTATTTACAGTTTCATGGGCCTGTCTTTGCAAATTCTCTATAACTTCATGGTCTCATAATTAAAAAAGTCATCTATGAGACCATAAGGCCCTCTTATCCTACAATTTCATGGTCCTGTTTTAGCAAATTCTCTGTGGAAGAAAATATACTTAACCTCATGGTCCCATCTTTAAAAATTCATCTATGATGCCATAAGGTCCTGTAATCCTATATACAATTTTATAGTCCTGTCTTTGCAAAGTGTCTATGGACAAAATTGCCCTGCACTTCATGGCCTCATGGAAAAATATCATTTATGAGACTGTAAGCCTTTTAAACCTACATGAAATGTCATGGACAAGTCTTGGTTAATTCTCAATGAAGGAAACTATTCTGACCCTCATGGTCTCATCTTAGAATATGTCATAAATGAGACCATAAGGCCCTATACTCCTATTTACAGTTTCATGGGCCTGTCTTTGCAAATTCTCTATGGATGAAAATATTCTAAAGATCATGGTCTCATATGTAAAAAAGTCATCTATGAGACCATAAGGCCCATTTATCCTCCATACAATTTCATGGTCCTGTTTTTGCAAATTGTCTGTGGAAGAAAATATCCTGAACCTCATGGTTGAATCTTTAAACATGTCATCTATGAGACCATAAGGGCCTGTAATTTTACATACAATTTCATGGTTCTGTCTTGCAAATTCTCTGTGGAAGAAAATATCCTGAACATCATGGTCTCATCTTTAAAAAGTCATCTATGAGACCATAAGGGCCAGTAATCCTACTTACAATTTCATGGTCCTGTTTTTGCAAATTGTTTGCAAAAGAAAACATCCTGAACCTCATTGTCTCATCTTTGAAAAGTCATCTATGATACTATAAGGGCCTGTACCCATACATACCATTTCCTGGTCTTTTCTTTGCAAATTTTCTATGAACAAAATTATCCCAGACTCATGGTTTCTTCTCAGAAAATATTATTTATGAGACCATCAGACCCTGTACAATGTACTTATACTTACAATCTCATGGTTCCATCTTTGCCAATTTTGTTTAAAACCGTAAGGCCTTGTATGCGTAATTACAAAATCATGGTGCTGTCTTTGCAAATTTTCTATGGCCCAAACTATGTTGACCCTCATGGTGTCATATTTAAAAAAAATTTATCTATGAGACCATAAGGCCCTGTACCCTTACAATTTTATGTCCTGTCTTGCAAATTCTCTATGGAAGAAAATATCCAGAACTTCATGGTCTCTTCTTTTGAAAAATTATGTTTTAGAATCCATGTGCCTCTGTATCTTTTTTAAGTTTTTATCATCCGAAAGAAGTAAATATTTACAGTGTATAATGTTTCGAAAAGTAAGTTTGAAATAACTTTATCAACTAAATTTTTTTTTATGATACTTGCTCTACCTTTCAGAATTCTTTTGTGCCATATTTGAAAGATGGTTGGTATTACAGAGAAATGGGCAAGACTTGAAAAAAAGGTAATATTATTTATTATACCTAACAAGATAAATTAATTTAAGAAATAATATATCCAAAATGTGCTTTTCTCGCTAAATAAAATCACTGAAGTTGGATGCGAGGAATTATTTTACAAGAGTGTAGCCAAAGTGATATAATGATGCACATATGAACAACAAACAAGCAATGAAAAAGAGCCCTATTATAATTTGTTTCAGTTTGTAATTTTTTACTGATCTTCTTTTATTTTTTTTTTCCATACATTTAGATTGTAAAATTCAGGGAACAACATCCTGAATCTCGTGTTGTATGCTTAGTCATGATAGGGAACACCTACAGGTTCAAAGGTAAGATTTAGTTTTCACCATTGGTGGCTTTTAACATTTTTTTAATACTTTAACACACACTGATATTATTGAATTAGCATGAAATGTGGTACCCTTGTTCTCTGCGTAGGATTCTACATGGCCAAGTTAACTGACATACCTCTTGTCCTTGTGTGTTCCAGCATTACCCAGGATGGTAAAATCAATAAATCTGTTTCCAGAGCAAGCCTCATAATTATCATTTGATCAGGAGGTATAAATATGATACTGACATCATCTTAATAAAAGTTACAACCTAAAGTTGAAAACCTAGATTGTAATAAATTGGAAGTTTATAACATTGATGGTCTCTCTACAGGTGATGAGCTGATGGAGAGGGCGTTTGCCCAAAATGATGAAGTTAAGGAGCTATATAAAGCTGCTTTTGCTCAGGGAGGTCATCAATTATTTGGACAACAGGGCAAGTTTTTTTTCAATTGCATAAATTTTATTTAGGATTTCAATATTTTTCTCTAAAACCCAAAGATATATTTTACATACAGTCAAAGTTTAGGAAACCAGACGCTGAGAAAATTGGAACTTTTAAGATACCGGATGATTACTTCAGTCCCAAATTTTCCCTTTGTTAAACTATTGCATTTAACATTGACATACCGGAATATGTAAAACCCAAATATCAGATGGTTGAAAGGGTTTAATTATATAGATGAATACACTGACAAATTGACAATACCAGACAGAGAAGGTGTGAATAACCTTGTGTACTTGGCAATTGGATGTGTTTAAAAGTAACCGAACACTGACTGTCTGATTTCTTTATTATGTCTCCTTTTCATAGTTTAATTTATTGTAAGGCAAAGATGTTACTGTTTTATATAAATGCCAAAAGGCACAAGGAATTGATAAATTGAAATCAGTATGAATACAAAAAAGAAGTATCTTTATACTACCTTGCTTTTGTATATTCATTTTCCAAAATGTGAAGGCAACGAAACATTATCTGCGCCAAGTTCTATTCCATCACAAAAAGAAGAACTGTCCATAAGTGACAAAGTTAAATTAATCAAAGACAGTGAAACTTTGCCAAGACCTTATTTAAAATCATTTATCTGACAAATATGGCATATTTACAGTGGGGGCATTATTAAAAACAAACAAAGTAAACTAAGTTCATTTAATCATTATCCAGTGCCCAAATGTAAAACAAATGCAAAAATTATTGGACTTTATTGTTATGAGGTAACTGCTGTTCATTTTAAATCCAAAATTTTATTGTATTTAGATGCAATAATATGACAAGAATAAATAAAACATGCTATTTTGTATTTCTTCATATGCAGTACACGTACATATGATTCTCAAAATGCAAATAAACAACATCTGTTGTAAGTCATTTCTCGGTATACAGTATCCCGAAGGGGACATTGAGAAAACCAGACAAAACCCTCTGTCTGAAAGCTGTTTGGTCTACACAACTTTCACTGTATTATCCATGGATAATTTTTTTCCTTGTTATGTAAAGCTAGCTACATGCAAATAATTATAAATAGATTTGACATTACTAATAAGTTCAATGCATAATTTTATCACATAAACCATGGTGCGGGAGTGTAAAAAAGCCATTTAATAAAAACGATAGTAAAAACGATATTACTAGTGTAATAACACTTTGACGTCACGTCATTTGCACTATGTAGAAACATAGCGTTAAAGCGCACTAATGTTAGTATTATACTATGGGCGCATCATTGAAAAATTACTCAGTTTAACAGTTCACTGTTCTTATTTTATATATGTGATAACTAGAATTTTATATTTGTGTAGATTCAATACTAAATTTATTGAATTCGTTGAATAAAACAATATTATGCTCGCCAGAGGCTCGCATAATATGATTTTATTAAAGTCAAATTAAAATAAATTTAGTATTAAACTACACTCATTCAATATCCTCTATAGAATAAGATCTTGTCTGACTTCTTTTTTTTCTATATATTCCAGATACATCTGAAGAGCCTCCTACAGAGACATTAAAGGATGCCTTGTCCAAGCACTGCTTTGACATGGATATGTCAGAGATGAGGTATATCATTGGCCTCACTATAACTCCAACTGGTACATCTTCTGGTAATGATCTACATGTATTTCTATTTATTTACAAAATAATCTCACACTGAATATGATTTGTATTTCTGAGGTTTCTCAATGTGTCTCACAAATGTCTATCCTAAAATTATTGTCTTAACTGTCTCATCCATCCAAAAAAACCATTTTGAACTAACTACACACAAATAATGTTAATTATAATTTGACATTCAATTCAGAGTTGTGTAGAAGAGCATGACCCCTATCTCCAAGGCACACTGAATGGTCAAAAGAACACATGATCCAGTGTGCTTTCTCATGAAATAGCTCTTGTTGTCATGTGTATTAAAAAAAAAATCTTGTTTATGTTACTACCTACATATCACATTTTTTGGTTTATTCTCACCTTTGTGTATTTAAACAATCCTGTTACAGCATTACATTCTTCATATCTGCTCAGTTTCAGTTTCCAGCATTGAAGTATACAAGTTTGTTTCTTCTTTGACAACTTTTTATTGGTTAACTTATTGTTTCTGGTTTTACTCATAATTATCGATTTTTCATTAGCTAGGGAAAAGAGAAGAAATTTTTTTGCAGACATGCAGAATTGCCCTGTGTGGTGGAGAAGGACTTCTGTTCCTTTTGTTTCCCTGAATCATCCTAAGCGTGAGTAATACACTTAAACAATTATAAAAGAAATGTTGTCAATTGGTTTCCAGAATTGTAGTCAAATTAAACATTAAAAACACTACATAGAGGATATTTTTTGATGGAGTGAATGTCACTGAGAATTAAGAAAATTTCAAATATTTTCACAAGAGCATAGCATTAGTGAAATTTAAAGATTTTTTTGCATAGCAGACTGGCGTTTCCATTAGTTTTACCCATGCCGGAAATTGCATCTGGCATGAGGGGTGCCAGATGATAGGTGTGTTAAACAACAACGTCATTTTAGCCCATTTTATGAATGAATTGCGATAAAAATGACGTAATTTCACTTCTTTTATTTTGGCCTATTTACATTAAATTATGCATTTTGAAACAAATTTTAGCTTAGTGTGGGGAAAATATGTGCATAAACATGACTTTATACTTAATGACGACACACATGACACATAGTTTCATTGTATTGCATTTATGGCTGCATAACATTTTGAAATTCGTATTAAGGTATTAGATGTATAATTAACACCTTTTCAAAAGGCTTTTAAAACTTTATATTAATAAACTGTACTCTATTCTGGACATAAATACAAGAAATTACAAAATTTTACCATTTTGTTTGAAGAATATTGACAGTTGAAGTATAACTTTGTATCAGTTTCATACAACATCAACAAAGAATATTTTTTCATTATCTGAAGAAAAGTTCTGCTTGTTTCATTGAAAAGTACTAATAAAGAACCATAATGTTTTAATAACTACAAATAAAACCATTGAATGACAAATGTCTGTGAAAAGATTTGTTTGACTCAGGTAATTACTTGTTATTTTAAATCCAATAAGAAAAGGGTGGTGTATGAAAACCTTTCAGATTTTGTTATATACAATATTTTCACGAAAAAACTATTTAATAATGATTATCTTGATAGAAATACAATGCATAAACATTTGTGAAAAACATAAAGAAAGTTTAACATGCCAATTTCAATTTAAAATCATTTGAAGTAGTTACCCTATCCAATCCCATACAATTCACAGTAAAAGTTATGCATAAAACTTTTTTTTTTCTTAAGTACAGATTTTATATAAAAAATAAGGATAAAATTGTGACCAACATAAATATGAAAAAAGCCTCTCATGGGATTTGAACCCACGCCCTATTGAAACTCTGTGTCCTAGCTGAAAATGAATACTCTTAATAAAGGAGATTCTGCATGTTTATATTAAATTAACTAATTTGAATCCAGAAATGTACTAAAAGGAACAGAGAATGGCTATAATTTTCATATTTTCATTCTATTTTACCTAAATAATCTACAATATACAAGTAGATTACCACATAGTGGCTGATATACAGAGTGTTATGGATATAAGTTAAAATGTAAGTTTAATGTACAATTGAGATAGTAGAATTATCCTCTGAACATTACAACCAAAATTAACTTACATAAAAGGTAACAGTATACTACTCATAAAAAGCAAGTTGCTCCCTTTATACAAGATTAAAACAGAAAGGAACATTTAATCCATTTTTGATTTGAACTTTTCAAATTTGACTTTTCAAATTGGACTTTTCAAATTGGACTTTTCAAAACAACATTTAATAATATGTACTTTAATGCATATCAATATTATGTAAATGATTTTATTCTACAGCTCATCAAAGACGGCCAAATATTTGCCAAGTTTATGAGCTGATTGAGTCATTACAAGACCATTATGACATAACGCCAAATCCTCCATCAAAAAGACCCAGAATAAATTTTAGGTTTGTACGTGAAGCCACTGTACTCCTGGTGGACAACTTCAATTCTTGTGTAAAAAAAAAAATCCAATTGCAAGCAACAATTGTCATAACTGTATCAGGGGCATTGTAATATGATAACAGACAAGTTTTTACTAACAAAAGAAATCATTAAAGTTTATTGCTGTAGTGATTGTAGAAATTAAAATTGACCAATAAAAACTTGACATGATTATAGGAAATCAAATTGATGAGAAAAAAAATTGGGATCACTTGATCTTAATGCTGACCAATTGAATATATTAATGTTACAAAAAAAATGTAATTAAACTGTGGAGTGCAGATGCTTTAAGAAATTATGCACAAACTTTGGGCCTCTGGCTGAACTGATATATGTGTTTATGTACACGAAGATATGTTAATATTTTCAAGGTTTCCTCTTGCTATCATAAAATTTTTTTTTATCTCAACTTCTAGTTGATCAGTTATATTCTCCCTATCTTCTCCCATCAGTATCTTAATTTGATTTACTGTGATCTGTTACTATCAAAGCTTTTGACTTGAAATTATAAGCAGTTGTATACTCTTCAAGTGTAAAACAGGGCAAACAATCACCATAACTCTGTTTCAATTTTGACATAGAGTAGTTTTTGTCTGTCAAACTCTGTCTGCCAGGATAAACAATCTCTATAGGTCTGATTAAATATTATACAAATATGGACTTTTTAGCTGATGTGATATGTACTGACAAAATTGATATTGAGAGAGGCTATCATCTCTGTCAATATGAATTTTTCAGTACATTTTACATCATAAATCAACAACTAAAAAGTACATATCTGTTTCATTATATAATTTATTAATAGCTTTTATATGACTTATCAAATCTGCCATTGCATGATATGACTGATATTGACATTTTACAGCTTGTCTTCTTTTTCCATAATTTGACTTTGTCTTAAATAAGCGCATTGGCACGCTTATTTGTAATATTCTTAAAAATGTAATGATGGTAAGTAAAATAGACTTATTTGACTCTTATTAACATGTCACCCAACGTTTTTTCAGAATAATAACAACAAACTTGGCGTGACTTCACGTCATAGTCTCGAGGTTTTTGGGGGATTTCCAGACGAAAAAGCGGTGTATATACTCTGAAAATCTATTTTTAGGAAAATAACAGTGAATATACTCGGATATTGACCTGTTATTTTTTTACAAAAGTTGCTTGTTAGCCAATCTTAAAGGCATTGCAAAGCTATTTATAAATTATATAATGATGACATTTATGGACCTTTTACATATTGTTTTGTTAAATGAATAGCCAAAAATCTTCAGGATTTTTTTTTCAGAAGCAGATTTTACAGCCCATTAGTCGCACCTCCTGGAGTTTCTACTCCTGCATCCCTTTCTTCGAGGCATTCTACATTTGAACCTTCTTCTGTACTTACTTCTTCTGAACCTCATTCTGCTTTATCCCCTTCTGCTGAGCTTCCTACTTCTTTAGCTACTATGGGTGTGATTAATTCATCTAGATCTCCTTCTGTACATTCTACTGCTGTACCTCCTGCTTCTGAAACCCCTTCTGATCCTCTAAGTTCTGACTCTGCTACTTGTGGAACTCCTGACTCTGCTACTTCTCAACTCCCTTCTGCTTTATCTCCTGCTTCTGAACCCCCTTCTGCACCTCTTACTTCTGACTCTGCTGTTTCTGGAGTCCCTTCTGCTGTATCTCCTGCTTTTCAACCCCGTCTGTACCTCTTACTTCTGACTCTGCTACTTCTGGAGTCCCTTCTGCTGAACCTCCTGCTGTTCAACCCCCTTCTGCACCTCTAACTTCTGACTCTGCTAATTCTGGACTTCCTTCTGCTGTACCTCCTGCTTTTCAAACCCCTTCTGCACCTCTTAATTCTGACTCAGCTACTTCTGAACTCCCTTCTGTTATACCTCCTGCTTTTCAACCCTCTTCTACTTCTATATCTATAGTAGATACCTTACAAAACAGGAGACAGAGACTTTTAGAACTTACACAGGTAATTATTTTCAACATTCTTTTTTCATTAAAAAGAAATATGAGTAAGAACATGTAGAAATCAATGTGCATTCACAAGTTTAGTCTAATGATGCCTTATTAGTCCCCTACCGGTTTACTGGAGGGGACTTGGACTTTAGGTTTACCCTCCGTCGGCCTGTCCGTCCGTCTGTCTGTCCGTCTGTCTGTCAGTCCGTCCGTCCACAAAACTGGATCCTGCGATAACTTGAAAATTCTGGTTGCTATGGCAACAAATAGGATGAAAATAGGGCAAATTTTACACATAAACTGGATCCAGTGATAACGCAAAAAGTACTGGAAATATTTTTATGAAACTTGACATATGGGTAGATGGCAGTCTTGAGATTATGCACGTCTTTTTCTTTTCTTCCTATGTTGAAAATTCTGGTTGCTATGGCAACAGGCTGAAAATAGGGCAAATTTTACACATAAACTGGATCCAGTGATAACGCAAAAAGTTCTGGAAATATTTGTATGAAACTTGACATATGGGTAGATAGCAGTCTTGAGATTATGCATGTCTTATCTGTTCTTCCTATTTTGAAAAAATATCTGTTGCCTTGGCAACAAATAGGCTTAAAACATGGCAAATATAACAATATTTGTGATAAGTCAAAAAGAGCTGAAAATTTTTATGAAATTGCATCTTTAATTCAAGAGTTATCTCCTGTTTAAGAATTTTGCTTTTAAAATGTTATATTTTGGTAACAGGGATGTTTCAAATATTAACTTTAGAGTGTCCTTCAATCCATCTGTCTGTCTGTTCATAAAAACTGTTTCCTGTGATCACTTTTAAAGAACTTAAAAATTTTCCAACAAATTTACTTAAAATAGAGAAAAATTGAAGCATTAGTGAATGGCCGATGGCCCTTCAGAATGTTGATGGGGTTCCAACCGGTAGGGGACTTATGGATTGCTTGCAATACTATGATAATTGCTTGTTAATTCTGTGTACAGTAATAATGTAATAATGAAATATTTTTAAATTGTATGCCATTGAAAAGAAAGGCACCATTTTACACACCTGTCTTTGAACCTATCATTCCATTACTTGACAGCATGCATCTACCAATTCCACTTTTGTTTGTTACTTTCTTTATTGGTTTCATGTGTATTGACCTCACCAAAATATTTAATTTGATTTCCAGGAATCAGTACAAAAAAACAGTCTGGAACTTCTGAGGATTTTGGGTGCAGGGGATTGGAATGAGCTTCTTGCTCTTAGTGGAGAAGTTACTCCATACATGCCAGACCCTCCCTCATCCCTATCAAAACAGTGGAAAGTTCCACAGCTGCTGACTACAAATGCCAAGTATAGTTATAATTTTAGTCAAAAACATTTATGCCTATTGGGCTGACATACCAAGGCATTATTAGAAAATGACATGACAAATCAGAAATTCATTAATATCATTATACAGGTCTTACATTTATTAGCATAAACATTAATTAGCTAAATTTAGTTTGTATCCAATCTAAACACAAAAAATGATAGTAATGTCATATATCAATATTTAGCAGACAATAACAACGTATTGTCTCACATGTCATATTATCACATCACTATATGAGTAAATGCATTTTTAGCTCGACTTTTCTATGAAAAGGGGAGCTATCCTACTCGCCCCGGCGTCGGCGTCGGCGTCGGCGTTGGCGTCACACCTTGGTTAAGTTTTTCGTACCACCCCACTTTACACACCTGTCTTTGAACCTATCATTCCATTACTTGACAGCATTGCATCTACCAATTCCACTTTTGTTTGTTACTTTCTTTATTGGTTTAATGTGTATTGACCACCAAAATATTTAATTTGATTTCCAGGAATCAGTACAAAAAAACAGTCTGGAACTTTTGAGGATTTTGGGTGCAGGGGATTGGAATGAGCTTCTTGCTCTCAGCGGAGAAGTTACTCCATACATGCCAGACCCTCCCTCATCCCTATCCAAAAAATGGAAAGTTCCACAGCTGCTGACTACAAATGCCAAGTATAGTTATAATTTTAGTCAAAAACATTTATGCCTATTGGGCTGACATACCAAGGCGTTATTAGAAAATGACATGACAAATCAGAAAATCATTAATATCATTATACAGTTCTTACATTTATAACATAAACATAAATTAGCTAAATTTAGTTTGTATCCAATCTAAACACAAAAAATGATAGTAATGTCATATATCAATGTTTAGCAGACAATAACAACTTATTGTCTCACATGTCATATTATCACATCACTATATGAGTAAATGCATTTTTTATTGTTGTAATTTCATAGTCCAATATTTGAATGAAAACACTTTTATATCCATGACCTCACTTATATTTTAGGTACAAAGATTTTATTCCAGACTCTCTGGGTAAGAGGATTTGCCTATCTTCAACAGCAGATGGAAATTGTGTATTTCATACTTTTTCTATATCAATATTTGGTGATGAAAGCATGTCTTTCTTATTAAGACTAATGACAGTAGTACTGATGGCTGACAAAGTTCTAGAATATTCAAAATATGTAAGTACATATTTACTAAAACCACTGTTTGGTTATTTACTATAGATTTAATATGATGAATTTTTATTGCTGAAATTGTTGGACATAAAGATCTCTTCATTTGTGAAGTAATTACAAAGTCGCATATTTTTCAAAGTGGACAATTAAGTGTCAGATAGCTCAACTGGTTAGAGCACCTCAAACATGTTGGAGAAATTACAATGTTATGGGGAGGTTTCAGGTTCAAATCCTGATCTGACTCTTGTCCTGGTATTTTTTAACTCCAAATTTGTCAAATGATACTGACAAAAATGTATCATGTAATGTTATCAGCAAAATGGTTTAGAGAAATGGATTGTACAGTTTAAGGCACAGGTCTATCAAGTTTTTGTCAAAAAATCCAAATCTGGACAATAAAGTACCTGTTTTTTTTATTTCAAACTTCATCAAAGCTAATTTCTTTTAAACTTTCTCAAATTTCAAGTTCTTGTCCTCTGAGAGCAAGGTTTTAATTTAATTTTAACAAATTAAATTGAATAGAAAAGGTGTTTTGGAAAATTGAAGTTATAGCAAAATAGTTCAAGCAAAATATATGGAATAGAAAATTTGATTCTTAAAAATGTAAAGAAAATTATGAAAGTGCTTTACCCACAAAAGGAGATATGCTTGCTGCCATTATATAGTATTGTGACTAAAAGTACTGTAGACTGACATGGTGCCTTATTATGACAGAGGTCTATTTCTCAGAATAGCAGCCAATAAAATCAGATTACTATGGAATGCAGGTAAGGATATGCCAATTTGCTGAATTGCTTATTTGCCAGTTTGCTCATTTGCTTAATGACAAATTTGCTTATTTGTTAATCGCTAATTTGCTTATTTGTTAATTGCTTATTTACGTACATGTTTGTGCTTATTTGCCAATAGCTTATTTGCTTTTTTGCAATAGAAATAGTTTACACTGTGCTGGAAGTATATGGCAAATCTTACTACAGACAACCAGTTGAGTCAGATCTTTTACCTTTAACCAACAGCATTCTTGGAATTTCACTGGTTTTTTAAGAATACCGTTTATCAATAATTATATTTGCAGTGATACCTATGCAGATATATGTCTACAGTTGATGGCTGACATGTCATTTAGAATGCCTAATAATGTGTTTGAAGACATAAATCTGTTTGTGCAGCTTAAGTCAGAGATTAATGCCATAATTAACACTTAATTAGTCAGATATAAGTGAAAATTTTTGGATGAAGATTGAAAATTATTTCATATTTTATGGCATATAAAATGTGTATAAAGGGATCATTATTCTCTGAAGATTTATCATTGGAGCCTCATTTTTATTGGTACAAACACAAAGTATCACGAATTATCCATTTGATGCATGCTAAACACTGATGTTTCTCCTTACGTTTTTAGCTCTGTAACATTTTGAGATCACTTTTGTCTGTGGGTGAGTCATGTGGTCGCCAATTCAAGGTCACAATCATGTCAAATCTTACCAAAAAAAACATGAGACATTGTTATGGTCACAATTTGGACATGGTCATCATCAAACTTGGTCACAATATTCATCAGGATGATATTGAGGTCAAGATATTAATACATGAGTCAAAAACTAGGTCATAGTCATAGAATACTTTATTAACCACTCAAGAAATCCCAATTTTGGTTCAATGTTATTGAAATTTTGTCACACAATTCCATTTCTTCATGTTGAAACTTTAACATGCCATCATGTCATTCAGGTGACCATGACCATGATCATGACCTAGGGTATAATGGACAAAGCCTCTTTGTATACTTTGTATGCTTGTTGCATAATGCTTATGTGAAATTACAGTTAGATATAAGCAATAGTAACAAAGATATGACAGAAAAACAAAGACTTCGTTAAAAAAATAAACAAAGTACAATACATTGGTGACCTTGACCTTTAGTATTAAGACACAGCCTCTACATGTTCTTTGTATGCATGTTAAGCCTTGTTTATGCAAAGTCCCAGTAAGATGCAAAGAAAAACAAGTTACCAAGAAAACCAATGCCTTGGTGAGTAGAATAGCATTCCTATTCTCTGAATTGTGGAGCTAAAACTGAAACTCAAGATAATAAAAAAAATCTTCTTTTTGAAACTAAATTTTTTTTTTCGAAATTGAATATAAAAAGTGTCCATTTTTCTTTCAACCTATATTCTGGATTGATTCTGAATGATGGATTGATCAAAATTGTCACAAGTTATTATTACCAAAACTTTACAAACATAACAACATGGTATTGGTTCATGAGCTTGAAATATAGTCTACAAAGACTTGTTATGTCATATCAAACAAGAACTCCATGAGTCAGACGTGTCGCCTGACACTAGCATACAAGTTATATAAGCAAATCAGCTATAAGCAATTAGCAAATAAGCAATTCAGTAGTTGCCAAATAAGCAAATTGGCATATTCCTACCGGCATTCCATAGTATGTATGATTGCATCAAGATCTTGTGATTCAGCCATGTAAGGTCAAGGTAACATCTCAGGGTCATAAGTATGACCTCATTATCTGTAGAAACTTTAGTCAAATGGTCTTCAAATTAAAATAATTTGCTAAACTCATGAATCAGTCTTATCAGTTCAATGTCAAGGTCACAGCTGAAGTTTTAGTGCTTATCATCATCTTTCTACCCTTGACATTGGCACAAATTTATTCTAAACAAAAATATTACACCACATAGAATCTTTTTTAGATCGTAGAAGAATTCGGAGAGAAATGTCAACATTTCATCTCATCAATTAGTAGTCAAGAATACTGTATCCCGGTAGATGTATCCCATGGAGAAATGGTTGAGTTTGTCTGTCAACAGGAGCTGTTGTTGACAGCAAGAAACCCATGCAGAGATTGTAGTAGGTTAACTATAAATAATGCATGTATATGTTACAAAATGTTATCATGAAATTAATATATAAAACATACCCAAATTATCACATGAGCAGCAAATATCCTGTATACACATAGTAAAAAATTAGATATTCTGCAAGTGTGAAGCAGAAACTGTAAATTATACTATTAAACATACTTTCTAGCTAAGTATCCAGGATTGAAATAGTTGAACCTGTTGTTTCCTGTGACAGGTTTTGTCTATCTGAGGCATTAACTAGTAGTTTTGATAGGTGATATATGGCTGTGTGTTCTTGATTTTTTTAAATAGAGAGTAATTTAAATGGTTGAGAGATATTTGTAATTTAAATACTTTTGCAAATATTTGAGGGGAAAAAAATACATTCATCCTTGCAACTGGAGTTTTTAAAAATATATGCTAATTGCAATGTACATTTTTAATCTTGGTAGAGATGCCTCCCTACATGTAAGTCAATGATAGCCAGGCTGCTGTTTTAATCCGTATGCTCACTGTGATTTATAATGTATTGTCTGATTTTATTGACCTGTCAATTATGAATACATTATAGCACTCATTTAAATATTCAATCCCACTTCAATTTGGTCCGTGTAGTTTAGGAGAATTAATGTGAAGTATATAAGTAATGTTTTGAAAGTCACACCAGCATAATGTGAGGTCTGTGGTTAAATCCTTACTGATGACACTGTTTCTTTTATTTTTTTATTTTTGCAGTATATTTTAAATGGAATCAATTTGCAGTGTGCTTTACAGCTTTGAAATGACATTTATTAATTTATTTGAATTAATTTTAACATGAATTCTTAAACAGTGTTATTTAAAAAGAATATAGACTTTACAAAATTAAGTAAAACATAATAAAACAAAATGAACAACATAAAAAAATCACATATAGCTTCAATAATGACGAAAATTATAAGGAAAAAACAAAACATGGACCAACGCGGTCTCCAACTTAAAACATGTATGGCACTTATGTTATAAACTTGTGCTTTACCCTATTGCTCTATAATGCTCGGTACACTAGGTTCATAGATACAAATGAAATTATATTCCATTGTACTGCATACATCTCACAAAACTTACCGAAAATCTACCAAAGATTAATATACTGTGTGCATTGACCGTGTTATTGACAGGTTAATAAAATTAAACAATACTATGCGGGGAGATTGGCACTTTATTATTGTAATGTGTTTTGATATTTTAGCACTTTTCCACTTGCACATGTTGGCAACAATATTGAAGAGGCCAGTTGTCAATCACTATGCTAAACAAAATGTGAGGGTGCCATTCATGGAAAATATTTTTCCATGTTTTGGTGAAAAACTTTTTCCACATCCAATCCATGTTGTTTGGGTACCATCAAAACCTAGTCGGTAAGAGCTTTTATTAAGAACATACAAATTATATATAAGTAACAAGAGTTGACAAATGCTCAAGAGGCTAATTTTTTGTAGGCTTACATAGGAATATGACAATTGCATTGATTATATACAGGAAATGTGTAACCAGGTTTTTCTAAGAAAGTATTTGTATTTTCAACTACAAGAGATCTTTCTACAATGTTGATAATTGAAAACCTGGTTCATGGCATTGCCATGGTTTTTTGTTTCATTTTTCAATTTCCATTTTTGCAACAGACCTGCACACATGTAGAATAGTCTGACAGGTCAGTTTATCAGACTTCTAAATGCTTCAAGTCTGATGAGTTGTTGGTAAAGTTTTAATGTTAATCATATATGTTTTACTGTATTCCTAGAAAAGATTTCGCGCATTTTAAGTTAGCGGTTTTCGCGGTAGGCATGATTCCGCGAATCTTTATAGCCGCGAATATGTCACTTATAACAAATCCGCGAACATTTCTAGCTTCAACCAAATATAACATAAAAAGTGCAGAATATTTATTATAATCTACTTACACAAAACAACATATAAACACAGGTGTTATAGAAATGTGAAAGAATTATTTATGTATGTTATTGATACTAGTTTGTATTTTTTTCAGTTATGCAACATTAAGACATGTTGTTCCAGCAATATGTGAACCTGGACCATTTGGTGCACATCTTGAAGAATGTGCGTTTGAAGGCCTAGCTTGTTGTGCCTTCATGTCAAATGCTAATCCAGATTTAGATCCAATATGGATTGAATGTAGTTTATGTGGCCAGTGGACACATGATACATGTCTCCAAATTCAAGGAGCAGACATAAAACCCGAGGATCTGTTCTTTTGTGGATGTGACCGTTTAGTTGATGGAAACTTTATTATTGAAAGGTAGGTTTGACAATATGAAACTCAATAAATTTGGTCTGACATTGTATTATGAATTTTACTTTTATACAATTAACAACTTAAGTGTTGCATACTTTAGCCTTAAAGTTCATCACAAGCTTTTTTGAATGTTTAACAATATTGTGTTGTCCTGTATGTTAACATTTTCTTAAGAAATATTGTTTTATATTGTTTAGCTCTTAGATACTAATATACACCATCATGTACATGTGCCCTTTTCAAATTAGTACAAATAATCAAAATCTATGCAGAATTCTTGTTATGAGTTCATAGAAATCTCACTAAATTGACATGGTCATGCATTACAAATGATACAAGTTTCCTTATCCTGTATGATTTAATACTTCAAAGATATGAACAAATTGTACTGTGAAAAGATTTAATTTCAGGGTCATGAAAGTTCGTGTATTTTCATGTTTGGACCTAAAATTAATGGACCCCGTATTTTACTTTCTTGTTGTGATTAAATTTTGTGGAAAACATGACCAGGAAATTCTCAAAATAAGCCCCCCACAAATATTCACAGCATGTTGTGCTTTTTTTTCAGCCTTAATTGGTACAAAAGTCTGTCATTAGACTTTTGCAGGTCTTATGTTGATTTTAAGGTATTTATTCTGCAAAAACAGTTAATTTTTTACTTGAAATACATTCAAAATTACAACAGACCAAATAATGTGAAATTAACTGACCAAAAGAAATCTGTGTACATTTGTATTAGATTTGTTCTTTATTTTTTGATCAAATCATTTTCATGCTTAAAATCTAGTTACATTTGTTTTTATGTTGGTTTTTTTTAAATATAGAAATTCTAAAATAAAAATGTCTGTACTGTTGTAATTTTTACAAAGGGTATTTCCAGAAAATACTGTTTTCCTAAAGAGAGAGCAATGTCAACCTCACCATTCATAGATATGAAACAAAGAACTTGGATGAAAGTCATTAGAGCTGTCAATACTATTTAAAAATGCCTCCCTCCCCAGATAGTATTTTCTGGATCATCTGTTTCAACAAAACTGTTATATTGCTCTTGTTTATGTTCTTACATTACAAGTTTTTGTTGTTGTTATGCATAGTTGCATTAGTTTTCCCTTGCAAAAAGAACTTTTAAAGGACCTCAGATTTTTTAACACAAATAATGCCCACATCAAGATGATAGTGTTAGGTTCTTGTTCTGTATGGCTAGAATCAATGTCATAGTCAATAACTCATGAATTACTTGATAGACTGAGACCAAACTTGACTCAATTAATATCCACATCAAGACAAAATTCTTAGTGCATGTTCTGGATGACTGGCATCAAAGTCAAGGTCACACTTAGAGTCAGAAGTCATTTGCTCTGTAACTCTAAAACTGATTGAGATGATTTACAAAGTGCACAATTGAATAGCTTTAAAGTCAAGGTCACATCTAGATTTAATGTCATATCTTTAGATGTATCCTACATTATTCAGGTAAAAAAATATTCTGCAATAAAAAATTATTTATTTGTATGTCAGTTTGCAATGTCAGTGTCTGTGGAGGAAGTGTTTGGATTTTTACATTCTTTCCCTTCAATATACATAATGTATACAGGTAAATTTCGTCACAAAGTTTACCTTACATGATTTATATACACAATTCAATATTATTTGTCATCATCTGTATCCTTAGTCATTTGTTTTATAATTATGTTTGAATTGTGCTTTAAATATAGGCTATTGTAAGTGACAAATCTCCTAGTTTAAGACGATACGTCTACCAGAATGCTGGATACGCAATGATGAGGAGAAGCCTCCGGATTGGAAGATTTGGTCCTTTTACTGAAGAAATTGTAAGAATTTTTACTTATTAAAATATGCCGTTCTTAATTTGGTAACAGAGTAGACAATTGTATCATAAAGAGTTGGGTACCAGTATATAAATACTAGTTAAATGATCAAACACAATTTCACAATATGCAGAAAGAGGGTTATGATAACAAAGGTATTATCTCTTTTCAGAACTTTTATAAATGGTCTGCATCCTAAAGTATTTGCTTTTAAAGTATTGCAATACTTTTTATATGTTTTTTGGCTGCTGACGTACAATCTGGTACCTTTCTTAACAAAATATTTAAACAAATATGGACAAATAAACAAAACATTTTATGTAGGAGCAATTCCTTTGTTCTTGAATCGATAACATACAAATTAATCACGAGTAATAGTAAGAATAAAATATTTACATTCACTTTTTTACTGTAATGAACTGTTTGTGTGTGTTTCAGGTTGATAGTATAGTGGAAGAACTAATAAGAATCACACCTAGGAAGGATCAAGACCTGATCCTCGATCTATATATGCCAGAGGTAGTAGATTATAAAAGTTAAAAATTAATCTTTAAAGTACAAAATATTAGTATATCATTACACGACTACTTATGAGCCATTATTAACCAGGCTTCTAGGGAGACATCAGACTCCACTTGTCTTTGTTGTCAAAATAAGTTGTATAGGCAATTTTTATATCTCAGTTATGTCTGATAACCATCTAAATTGCTCCTTGAATTCTTGAGTTAGGGCTCTTAAATTACTGAAAACGGCCATTTAAGCATAAGTGACACTGTAACTTTTATAACACTTTTCACTCACTTAAGTTGAACAAACAGTTTTAATTGCCAATGTCATCCCACATGGAAATTCAGGAAAGCCTTCCTTTTTTAGTTCTTATGACTATTTCACAAATACAACATACAATGTCAAATTTATTACCATTACTAGTGATTGACATGTAACAGAAAGTTTCCAACTGCATATTTTGTGACATTCTGGCTCTTATATTTTCAGGTTCTTCTCTGTATCGTGGGCAAGAAAGAAGGAGTAAATCGTTTACTCTCAGAGAAAATACTTTTAGATATTAAAACACAATAGTTGTCAGCAATTTTCAATTATAAAAAAAATAATAGACATTAAAAACTTCATTGTGTTGAGTCTGCATCCATTCGTTATAAAACGAGAAAGTATATCGTAGGCATACAGACATTTTAGTATAGATGTGATTCCTGGTACGTCAACATAGATGCAACCAAAGAATCAAATATAGTATAGACTTTTGTGATACTTGTAGATCTAGCTGGTTACATACTAAAAAGATTGTGTAAATGTCATACGGTAGTAATGTTATATGGTAGTAATCACTGATAAATAAAATATGTATTAATAATGGTTGTTGTTTTCAGTCTTTAATTCTTAAACGCAAAGTGGATCTAGTTTTAAGTCAAACATTTCTGTTTTCAATAACTAATACTCCTATAGTAACATGCACTAACCGTTCACAAATGTTTATGCATAAGTGATATGTATGGGTACGGTAATGCATTATGGCATTGTTCTCACTTTGTAAACGTATGTATAAGTATATTACATTGTCTGTGATAATATTATATTTTTTCAGTTAATTATACCAATTATAACCCAACGATCTACCAAATATATCTGCGAAGGGCCTGAGCTACCTAATGACCGGCAAAGCAGCCCTACATCATAATTAAAGAGTAATATGAACCCTGTCGAATAATTCTATTAACTGTTACCGTTCATTTACGTATTTAAAACAATAAGGTTAGACAATGAAACAAGTCCACCATTATCCAAAATATTATTGCTTGGTTTTGATAGGCGGGGGAAATATTGCAGACAGCCGTTAAATACGGCCACAATCTTTATAACGAATTTGTAATACAACAAGCAGAGAAAAAAAGTAACATTTCTTTAAGAATCGACAACAGCCGTGTATATAAAACTTTATAATAATGCAATACTTTCTCTAAAAATGATGCTTGTTGTTTTATAAATTCGTTATAAAGATTGTTGACAGGTTATATGGTCGTATATAAACGGCTGTTGCAATAAAACCCTCGTCTAGTGGCTCGGGTTATATTTACACGAGTTGAATAAAATTATATTATACGAACCTCTGATGAGAAAAATATTATTTTATTCAAATTCAACGAGTTCGATAAATTCAGAAATGAACTTACACGAATTTAAATTCATTCAACGAGTTCAATAAATTCAGTTATGAACTTACACGAATTTAAATTCATTCAACGAGTTCGATAAAATAAGTAATGAACTTACACGAATTCAATTTTATTTAGCGAGTTCGATAAATTCAGTAATGAACTTACACGAATCATGCTTTTATCACCTACCAAAAATAAAGACTGTTAAAAGGGAAAAAGAGTCATTTTTCATTGACGCCCATACAATAATGATAACGCTTACATTTAGCGCGTCTTTACACTATGAATATGTTTATATCATTACTTATAAAGATTTTTGACAGCTTATATGGCCCCGTATAAACGTTTGTTTGGAAATATAGCCCGAGCCGCTAGTCGAGGGTTATATAGCAAACAACCGTTTATATACGGCCATATAATCTGTCAGAAATATCTATAACGAATTTATAATACAGCAAACAGCATTTTTAGTGAGAAAAGTGAGATTTCTTCATAAAAAGTGTATATATTAAGTTATATAAACGTCAATATTATCCAATGTAAAGCGACGTTACAAACCTGCAGTATTATAAAACGTAAGTGACGTCACGTCAAAATATATGCAAGGTCGTGCAATACCATTTTTAAAGAGTCGCAAACAAACAACAAGACAAAAAACAACATTATTGCAGTTAAAGGATTCACTACCGGCCGCAGCCCAAAAGAGTCATTTTTCTTTTGTGTTGTGAGTTATGACTTATGTGTATTGACTTGTCTTTTATGTGTTTTTTTCTTCTGGTTTAATCACGATCTCTTATTACTTGTGTTGTCCTTTTATTTTTATTTTTTAAAAGCGGAAAAAATCACTTGTTTCACCTGGGATAGGGTTAGGGTTTCAAATCGCACTTCGTGTGTCATTACATCATTCCGTCCAATATCGAATCTTCTAACTAATAGGTCGATTTGATGAACCTTGGTTATTAATATCCCCTACTGCCCTAGTTGGGGCCTATAAAGTAAAATTAGGTTACTAGGTCAAAAGTCAAGGTTACAGTGACCTTAACTTTAAAGGTTTTGCTATCGCATCTAGTCAGATAGATGGATTTCAATGAAACTTGTTCACCATGATCCCCCCCCCCCCAAAAAAAAAAAAAAAATAAAGAAATAAAAAAATTCTTTCATTGTCCTTAATGATATTAAATTTACGATGGCAAACGTCAAGGTCACGTAAACTTTCAACTTAAATTTTCTGTAAAATTTTGTATCTCAAGTCAATTCAAACTACTGGGTAGATTTGAATCAAATTTGACATAATGATACCAAGTACCCTAGTCAGTAATAATTGAGGATATAATATAATAGACATTATGCATAGTTCATAACATAGAAAGCGTAACTCATAAGAGATACCTCATAAGAGAAAAAATAGAAGACACAATGCTTAAACACATACATGTAATTCACAGGTCACAAGAAATAATCTATAAGACAAAGGTCATTAGACATATTTCATAAAGGTAATAATAAGTTCTTTCTGCTATACTTATACTTAAGGCCAATTAAAACGCACGGTCGGAATGAATGCATTTTAACGAGGAAAATATATTTCTCTTCAGTATTTTTCACAGTTTCATAAATTGTCATTTAGATACCAAAGTTATGAAAAATGATTGCATTTTAATGAAGTCATTGCATGATAAAGACAGTACTTACACTTGTTATAAGTTTACAATAGAAAACAGATTTAATCAATTCATGGTTACTTTATAAAATGAAATTATTTGTTTTTTTTTTAAACTGTTAATTATTAACTTGTTTTTCACACCTTTCTAGAAATGTTAGACACAAATGAGCAATTAAATTTTTTTATGAAAATGAATATTAAACTATGCCAGTTTTGGTCAGTTTTAAAAATCATAAAAGCTCACATTGAAATTGCATTTACACAATTTTCCTCTATTTAAGGTGCTTAATTTCAAACACTACTGAAGACTTGCTAGCAAATTGTATGCAATGATTCTACAAAGAATTAACCGCTTGGTAGATTTAGGACAGATTCAGTCTGCATAGTCTATCTTACAATCAAATTTACAAATTTTATAATATCAAAGCGCCAACCGTTTTGGTGATTATTTCTCCGCTTCATCAACGTTTTCGCACTACACTACATTCTGAGAGGCCACACATTGTACTCAATATACTGATATTTCCTTCAGTCAGGGAGATAGCTAGCTCTCTGTATTGCTTAAAAAAATTATCATTTAATTTACACGTGCCGATTTTGCGACTCCGTAAATATGGTATTTCACGGCCGTGCATATATTTTCACGTGACGTCATTTGCGTATGTGATAAATAGAATGTAAAATTCGTGTTTAACAAGTTCATTACTGACAGACAGACAGACAGACAGAAAACTTTATTTTCACTCAAGGTATTACAAATACAACATGAGGATGTAAATAACACAAATTAAGCAATATATGGTTCCGGTAGAGATCTGCAATAGAAAAAAATGAAAAAAAATAGAAAAACCATTATTTATGCATTCAGTATCATAATTATATCATATATCATGTTTAACAAGTTCATTACTGAATGTATTGAACAGAGGCTCGCATAATATGATTTTATTCAACTCGTGCAATAAATTCAGTATTGAACTTACACTCATTCAATATCCTGTATTTCGTTATGTTAGAGTTATGAATAATAAATTTTCTGGTAAAAGAGGTATCTATTTTAATAAATTCTCCATACGGCTGACTGCATGATATATCTTTATATCTTTAATATACACTTAACAACTTTTCTAACGCTGCCAGTAACATTTTCGCAAAAACTTTAAAACTACCGAAAGGCATTAACTGAATAATGTTTTCAGGAAATATAGATTACCACAGAATCTATTGTTTTATATAAGATTTACAATACAATAGATTTAAAAAATAACATATTTGATTAATTATCCAACGAGACCCCGTTTTTCAAAGTCGCAAATTTAACCAACTAAATATTCAGTACTCAACATTATTAACTGTATTCTTGCATTTATTATCAATTAAATCTATTTTTTTATCATCGCTGTTATTATTATATTTCAATGTGATTTTAAATTTATCCGCCCCTCAAAAACAGATGATGATCATAAAAAAATTTCAGTATAAAATTATGTCGAGAGTGCAGGACTAAAACAATGGATAGTTTGAAATAGCTTAACGATGGTTTTTCAAATTTAGTTAAGAGAAGAGACCATGAGCATGGATAGGCCGCATACATGTTTTTGCAGAGATGAGGCCATATGTATGGATGGGCTGCATATAGTATAGTCTCATACATGTTTTTGCAGACATGAGACCATGTGTAAAGATGGGCTGCATATCGTATGGTCTCATACATGTTTTTGCAGGGATGAGACCATATGTATAGATGGGCTGCATATCGTATGGTCTCATACATGTTTTTGCAGAGATGAGACCATATGTATAGATGGGCTGCATATCGTATGGTCTCATACATGTTTTTGCAGAGATGAGACCATATGTATAGATGGACTGCATATCGTATGGTCTCATACATGTTTTTGCAGAGATGTGACCATATGTTTAGATGGACTGCATATCGTATGGTCTCATACATGTTTTTGCAGAGATGTGACCATATGTATAGATGGACTGCATATCGTATGGTCTCATACATGTTTTGCAGACATGAGACCATATATATAGATGGGCTGCATATCGTATGGTCTCATACATGTTTTTGCAGACATGAGACCATATGTATAGATGGGCTGCATATCGTATGGTCTAGTACATGTTTTTGCAGAGATGAGACCATATGTATAGATGGACTGCATATCGTATGGTCTCATACATGTTTTTGCAGAGATGAGACCATATGTATAGATGGACTGCATATCGTATGGTCTCATACATGTTTTTTGCAGAGATGAGACCATATGTATAGATGGACTGCATATCGTATGGTCTCATACATGTTTTTGCAGACATGAGACCATATGTATAGATGGACTGCATATCTTATGGTCTCATACATGTTTTTGCAGACATGAGACCATATGTATAGATGGACTGCATATCGTATGGTCTCAGTACATGTTTTTGCAGAGATGAGACCATATGTATAGATGGACTGCATATCGTATGGTCTCATACATGTTTTTGCAGAGATGAGACCATATATATAGATGG